GTCTCCTTCCTCGTCACTGGAAACGTCTCTGTCTGTTGTCCCAACCGGACAACAACCCAAATCTCTTGTCCAAGGATCTGGGAGGAGCACACCCTCTTCTGGAGAGCCCCGCGCGGGCTGGGGGCGGGGAGCGGCGCGGGGAAGGGGCGGAGACAGGAAGGGGGCGGAGGCAGCGAAGCGGACGGAGGCCGGAAGGGAACGGAGGCAGGAACGGAACGGAGGCGGAAAGGGAACGGACCGCTTTCGGATTTCTGTCTGAAGAAAACCGGAAGTTGTCGATAGCTTTCTTCTTAAAGCTCTCAGGAGTTTGTGAGGGTCGCTGAAGGAGCGAAGGAGGAACTGCACGAGGCCGACAGAGGTAAAGAATTAAAAACGTATGAGGTCATCTAGAAAGTAGATGGGCTGAGCCCCTACATGGTGCCGCACCCAGAGATCGGGGGCTCAGAGTTTTTAAGGACTCGAGGGGGCTTTTCCTCGGCGGGGATTCTCCGGGCGGGTCCGGCGGGGCGGTGACTGGTCTGAGGAAAGGGAATGTGGTCTGAGCAGAAGGGAAAGTCGGCTGCAAAATGGTCTGAGGGACAGTTTCCGAGGGGAGGGCTATCTTTTTGATTATTTGATCAGACCTCACGTGCACGAGGCCAAAAGTGGTAACGAATTATACATTTATTAGATCATCCTCATCCAGAAAGCAGATGGGCTCAGGCCCCAAATGGTGCGAGCACCCGGGGACGGGGGAGGCAGAGGGTTCAAAGGGCTCTAAAGGGGCTTTTCCTGCGGGAAATTCTCTGGGCCGGTCAGGACCCTGGGCGAGGATGGGACGGAAAGTGACTGGTCTGAGCAAAGGGCCTGTGGTCTGAGCGGAAGGGACGGTCAGTTGCCAAATGATCTACGGGACAGTTCCCCGGGGGCGGGGGTGTCGCTGAGGTGGTTTGATCAGACCTGACAGAGTTTAGGGAGCTGAAGGTCTGCGTGGCCTCGTGGAGGTAAAAGTTGCTGGATGCTGAGAATGGGGCCGTTTGGTGGAATCGCGGCTGTATGGTCTCAGCCTGAGTGCATCCCCTCAGCTCGCGGCGCAGCTCTTCCGGCGGTGGGAGCCGGTCTTCGCAGTAGCGACACCACAGTGTTCAGTGGGAAGACGGGGCCTGTGCTGTGTGCCCCGCCTGCCCCCGTTTTGTGCCTCTGCCTCCTGTGTCTCACACGCAGGCCGGTGTAGCTGCCGCTGACTTTCGGAGGCAACTCCCATAGGCGGCCTGTGGAACAGCAAGTGCCTTCTCCCGCGGAGCCACTCTTTTGTAGTTCATTCCGGCCACACAGGGACCTCAAGGTGCAGTGTTGTTATTCCTTAGGGGCACTGGTTCCGATGCAGCCAATAGCCCAACAAAACCGTAACTGGTGGCTTGACCCCTGAGAAGGTAAGTTTGCATGTATTTCTGTGGTTTTGAAGGTATTTGACTGAACAAGTCTGTCCTCTCTGCTCTTCTTTCCTAGGTTCCCTAGCGATGCTGTTGCCGATGCACAGCCAGGGCCAGGACCGCTGTGTCCTCACCTGCACTGAGTGCAAGCAGCGGGTGGAGACAGGCTGGCACTGCCCCGGGTGCGAGGACTACGACCTTTGTATCAACTGCTACAACACCAAGGGCCACACCCACGAGATGGTGAAGGTGGGGCTGGGCCCGGATGAAGAGGCCGAGGAGGGCGATCAGGGCGGCAACCAGGGGGAGATGCAGTTCAGGAGCATCCGGGAGGCTCGGCGCCTGAGCATCCTGCGCAGCATCCAGACCCTGAGGCACGCCCGCCATTGCGGCGACGCCAACTGCTCTCGGAACGACTGTCAGAAGCTGAAGCGTGTTGTGCTGCACACCACGCGCTGCCAGCGCAAGGCCATTGGAGGCTGCCCAGTGTGCAAGCAGCTAATCGCCCTTTGCTGCTACCATGCCAAAGAATGCCAAGAAAACCCATGCCCCGTTCCCTTGTGCCTCAACATCAAACAGAAGATCCGCGAGCAGCAGCTCCGGCTCCGCCGAGAGCGGCTTCGGCTCCGCCAGCTGCGGATTGGGAACCGCCTGCTGCAAGGGTAGCTCATGCGCCAGCGGTCGCCACCATGAACTCCTGTCACGTGCCTCAGCAGTCTGCCATCCCCTCCTTGAGCACCACCCTGGACACCCCCACAGCAGCCCAACACACCCCAGACACCACAGCCTCCAACTCAGTCCCAGCCATGGCCTGTAAGCATGTCACTAGCCGGCTTCTTCAGCTCGGCCAGAACTTCGCCCCACCAGTGTCCACGGGGAAGCCCACTAACCTTCAGCTCCAGCCCAGCCTGCAGCCCAGCCTGCAGAACCTGAACGCCATGCAAGCCAGCGGGCCCGACCTGCTGTCCCTCCGCAGCAGCAACAGTGGGAGGCCTGAACCCCCAGGGCCAGGCCTTGAACATCATGAACCCGGGGCGCAACCCCAGCGTGGCGAGAATGAACCACAGCACAGAGAGATGCCGCGGAGCAGCAGCAGCAGCAGCAGCAGCAGCAGCAGCAGGAAAGCAGCGCTGGCATGGCCGCAGGCCTGGCAGGACATGCCCAGTTCCAGCAGCCTCAGGGACATGATGCCACCCGCAGCCATGCAGCAGCAGCAGATTGGGTCCCAGGCCAGCCAAACCCTGTTAGGCATATTCTGTACCTTTTCCTTGCCCTCAGTTTCTCCCCTGCGCTCAGTACTTTCTGTTGTCCCCCCTTGAGGCTCCTGTCCTCTCTGCCGTTTTCCTGTTGTTCTTATTTCAGGTGTCACAGGAGAGACAACTAAGCAGCTGAGAAAAGCAGCTCTAGACCCAGCTTTCTGCAACCACCTGCACCTCCATCCGACCCACACAGAGACATAAATATCCCGCCCTCCCTACTCTTGCTTGCTGAAATGGATATGCTGGTGTGTATTAATAATACCATTTCTAGCCCTAACCGGCTTGGCTCAGTGGATAGAGTGTCAGCCTGCACACCGAAGGGTCCCCGGTTCAATTCTGGTCAGCAGCATATACCTTGGTTGCAGGCACATCTCCAGTAGGAGGTTCAGGAGGCAGCTGATAACGTTTTCTCTCATTGATGTTTCTAACTCTATCCCTCTCCCTTCCTCTCTCTAAAAAAATCAATAAGATATACAGTGGGGCCTTGACTTACGAGTTTAATTCGTTCCGTGACGGAGCTCGTAACTCAGAATACTCGTATGTCAAATCTTAAAGTGAACGAGTGAGACACGTGATGCTGGGCTGATGTTGTGGCGTTCACTGTGACGTTCGCTGCGCCAACTAGCAGTGGGGTATCTGAAGCTGGCTCGTAACCCGAATTTTAGCTCACAACTCAAAGCAAAAAATCAGCCGAGAGACGGCTCCTATCCCGAAAAACTCGTTAGTCAGGACACTCGTAAGTCAAGGCCCCACTGTATTTTTAAAATTAAAAAAATAAAATTTCTAAATTCTCACAACATCTTTTGACCTGTATGCTGTCAGCACGGACCTAACAAATCCCATGAGCCCCAGCAGCACATGCTCTCAGAGAGCCACAGGCCTCTCCTCCCTGGCCAGCAGATGGCCACATCCCTCAGTAGCCAGGTGAGATCTCTGGCCCCTGTCCAGTCTCCAGACCCCAATCGCAGCTTCCATGTTCCAGCCCATCACCACGGATACGCCCCAGGCTTCACCACACCATCTCTCCCCCAAGACTGGTTCTCCCCACCCAGGACTCCCAGTCACCATGGCCAGCTCCATAGATCAGGGACACTTGGGGAACCCCAAACATGCAATGCCATCACAGCTGAACACCCCCACAGGAGTGCATTGCCCAGTGAGCTGTCCCTGGTCGGTGACACCACAATTGACACCCTAGAAAAGTTTGTGTAGGTTTTGTAGCGTTGTGAGAAATCACTTTTTTGTTCAATGTTCTTGGACCATTTGTACTGAAATTCAAGAATCTAGGATCTTTTTATTCCTAGATGGAACTGCTACTTCCAAGCCACAGAAGGGTAGATTGCTGTTCAAAGAAACAATAAAAAGTTTATGTTTTTGTTAAAAGCCAGTTGATTTAAATGTCTCTCTTTTTGCTTTCTTAAAACATTTTTTGTTCCTGGGAGGGGGTGGGGCGTAATTGCTGGTGACTCATGCTTTCTTAATAGGAAAGAAAGTTCATTATATCCATATTTTTAAGATTTGAAACATTTATGTTTAAAAGAGAAGAAAAATAATACTCAGAAACTGATTCCTGAAATAATGCAAGCTTATAATGTATCCTGATGGCTTTCTGACATTGTGGGGAGATTTTTTCTATTATTTCCTCAGGGTGTTCTCAAATTATTGCCCCTGGATGATTGGAATTGGCTCCTGAGTACACACACACACACACCCCACATCCATCTATACATCCTGTCTTAAACCAAACTCTTGTCAAAGATGTTGAAAATGTTGCTTAGTTTCTCTGATAAAACTGATTTTAGACCAAAAATAGGGATGATCACTCTCTTAGACCATGCTAATGTTAATAGAGAAGAGATTCTTTCTTCTATGTGAAACTTGAAATGAGGAAAAGCAAGTCTAGTGTCAATCATGCCAGAGCTATAATTACCGTAGATATGAAAACACAAGAAGATTCAATCACTATAGTAAAGTATTAACTCATATCCTATATTGTTAAATAAACTGATGCTACACACAAAGAAAAAGCAAATAACTTTACCTTAATGATGTACTGAGTTCCTCAAAAAGAAATCCAATTTGGAATTTTTAATGGAATTGCACTGCCTCTGTAGGTTAATCATTAATTCAATTAGGTCTTAATAAAGCCATCCAAGATGAGGCATTCTATATTAGGTCATCCGGTACAAAAGCACGGGAGGATGCTCTACTTATTCAGATCATCTTAAATTTTTCAATTTGTATAGAAGTTTTAGTGTTAATGCCCAGATATTTAGTGATCCTTATTGCTACTGTGAATGATTTCTTTTTAGTAATATTTTCTAGTAGCTGTTGTGGGTGGTAGAGATGCTGTTGATTTGTGCAGGCTGATCTTGTTTCTGGCAAACTTGCTGAATCTTATTAGTTATAATTTGCTTGAGTCTTTGTTTTATTGTAAGCTGACATCCTCTTCTCTCTCTCTCTTTCTCTAAAAAAGCACTCCCCTCTACCCCATTTAATTTCTGTGGTGGATGGTGGAGGTTGGGGAGATGACTCACTAAGAAGGAGTAGAAAATGTTTCCTCCTCCCCCCAACTCAGGGAGGGGCCTGGGCCTCCGTGATGCTCACATTGGAGTTCTCTACAGACTTGGAGAGAGACCTGCTAGTCAGGCCGCTGACCACTGTGATGGGAGGAAAAGTGGCCTGAGTCCTCTGGAAGCAGGAAAGGGGAGGAGAATGTCACCATAAAGAGAGGGAGGATTTAGAGAGGGGGAAGAGGATGAAGGGAAAGACTTGAGGGAAACGTAGGTGGGTGGGGCCTGGGAATTCTCAGGGATGGTAGATTGTAAAAGAGTCTAAGGTTCCAGAAGACAAGCTGGACCAGAGACCCACTACCCAGCAGTATGACCCAAAGAAGCCCTGGTCACCTAATGTGGGGGCAGTGGGAGGAGCTTAAGCCCCTGGGAGACAGGAATGGGCACCTCCCACCCCTCCCACCACCAGCCCACACTGACCAACTGATAGAAGCCCCATCCCATGACTGCCCTGGTCACCATGCTTTGCTGGGACCTTGATGCCCAAAGCTGTGGAGGCCCAGGAACTTCCCAGGAACGGAACCTCCTGCATCTCAGAGCTCCCACAAGTGAGAGCTGGATCCTCAAGCCACAGACAATTTGGGGCCCCACACTTGGTCCTGACAAGGAGTTTACTGAGGGAGGGGCCGGGTTGAGAATGTTTTCACCGGGCAACTGGTTTCCCTTTTTTAATGGGCAGCTGGAGTTGAATGCTACAGTTGCTTTGGCCCTAGCTGGTTTGACTCAATGGACAGAGCATCAGCCTGCAGACTGAAGGGTCCCAGGTTCTATTCCAGGCAAGGGCACACACTGTGGCTGTGGGCTCGATCCCCAGTAGGGGGCGTGCAGGAGGCAGCCGATCAGTACTTCTCTCTCATCATTGGTGTTTCTATGTCTTTCTCTTCCTTCATCTCTGAAATCAATGATAATCTTTTTTCAAAAAATGTTGCCTTGGGTTGGAAACTTCTCTGCACACCAGGAGATGGTGTCATGGGGCCACCTTCTCCCCTGCAGGGCACTGGCACTGACGGCTGCTGGAGGCAGGATGGGGAGCCCCTGCTTTAACAGCCTGATTGGTGACTCAGATTTCAGTTGGGGGCTGAGTGGCTATAAAATCAGCAATTGGAAGCCTGTGCCCTCCTGATCCCTCTTCAAGGGTTTGCATTGGATGAACTGATGGCCACATTCGTGCAGCTGTTCTTTGCTACCTCTGCAGCCCTCATTGCTCCTTTTCTCTCTCTCTCTCTCTTTTTTTTTCTATTATTTATTAATTCAGCACCTCAGGCACCCAAACCCCTGAATGTGTGAAAATTCTCCTGGGAATGTGCTTTTTATGATAGAGATCGGCATAAGCAGAGACAGCCAGGCAGGTCTGTTCTTACGGGGACCCAGTAGATGCCTCACTTTTCACTCAGATGTCAGACCGCTTAGTTTGGAAGTGGAGGGAGGTACGGGCCTGGCACCCATTGTGAGCAAGCTATGAGAAGGCCACACTTTCTTTGTAAATGTACAACTCCAAAACAAGGAGGCTATTTGGGAGCAAAGGAAAAGAATCAATGGGATGAGAGTAATTTTGATCCAGGAACATGCAGACCCTGAGCCTGTCCAGGTGCTTCTGAGAGCTGAACAGCCAGGCCGACCCCAGGCCTGTGGGTGTGGCCAGTGCTACAGGGTGTTCACCTTGTTCCCCAGCCCCTACATGCCAAGCTCTCTGCCAGCTCCTAACCTGAGCTGACTTGGAGATATGCCTTCAGCGCGGTGATTAAGTTCAACAGGAGCTCCTGAGGGTCTGTCCTGCACCAAAAAGAGGGTGTCCTTTGAAGAAGATGAGATGTGGGCACAGCCGGCCCACAGGAAAGACGCGTGAAGACACAGAAAGGAGGAAGCCCTCTACAAGCCGAGGAGAGAAGCCTCCGAAGAAACCACCCTGCCAACACCTGATCTGGGACTTCCAACCTCCAGAAACGTGAGGAAACGTGTCTGTTGGGTAAGCCCCCCGGTATCTGATACTTGGTTTTGGCAGCCCCAGCAAGTGAATACAGTGCGTAACTAAGGACGGGTAGGAAGGAAGCACCATGCATGGGTAGGAGACTAATGTGCTCTCTGGCAGGTTGCTTCCCTCGTGTTGCTGCCTACACGGTTCTCCATCTGCCTTTCCTCCTGATGCTTCCACCAAGCCCATCTCTTCCTGGCCTCTTCCCAGTGAGGGGATCTCTCTCAGCAAAATGCTTCTGCATCTTGCACAGTTAGCAGTCCCTGGAGTGGTGAATTGGCTGCGGCTTCAAATGGTGACAGGAAGGCAATGGGAGCAGCTGAGAGCTTTTGTCTCATTGGGCGCTCAGGACCACTTTTCTCACCCACCCGCTTGGGCAAGTGTGGCAATCCTACCCTAAATGTACTTCTCCCCCGTTTTCAGATGGTGAACGTGGTGTGAAAAACGCATTTCTAATGACTGAGCTCTGTTTTAATGTTTTCCATCTTTGCTGAGTCATTAAGTCTTTAAATTCTTCAATATTTTAATGATTTTATATTTCAGTGATGTTTTCATTCTCTCCATACTCTGTTGCCCATAAGACTCTCCAGTAAGAGCCCACCACAGGGTGACTTCACACCTGGCCCTGCTCTGAGTGTGTCCCTTCTTGTCAGCCTGTCTCCCGTGTGGGCCACGATTAGGGCATAGGCACATCACACCCCAGCTTAGGTCCTAAGACAGTGAGAAGAGTCCCAATTACCCTCGGAAATCCTTTGAGAAGTTGCCACGTTGGAGACCATGATTCCATTTTTCATTGCATTCGATGGACCAGCTTTTCCTCGAGTTTGGGGAGAATACGTAGTCTTT